GATAATTTTCTGATTACAAACATGCTATACTGTATAATTGATTCTCTAACTATTTCAGGGTCCCTCCTTATCCTTCTTTATACGCTTTACTTTTTCAATAATGATAACAGAACTAAATTATTCGCCAATAGCCTTGAATTTAACTCTTAACCAACACTTTTTAGGGTGTTTATTAATCGATTCTGGATATGATCATTATTCTTTCCACTCTTAATGAGAATATTTGCTAGCTACTGATCATCAGTCGCTATTGTTAATGTTTGCATAAATTAACTGCTTTGTAGAATCCTTATTTGGTTTAAAGCTATTTTTTCAAACAAAACTCTTGTCAATTGTATAACTGAAATTATTTATCAATTTTTTAATTAAATCTTTGTCACCAAATGTGGACAATATAGGCTTATCAGTATGCAGTGAGGATAATATCATCCATTACAGGATACTTTTAATGAGTGTATTAAAAAGTTAGTGCATTTTATTTGACGTCTAACCCCGTTAAATTGTCATTAGTAAAGGTTTGAAGGGAGGTGGGAAGGAGAGATACAGAGAGACAAACAGAGAGGGAGAGAGAGATAGATATAGAGATAAATAGATAGATAGATAGATAGATAGATAGATAGATAGAGAGGGAGAGAGTAGCAGGCAGACAGACAGAAAGAGAGTTTAGAAACGTGAAAGTTTGTAAGGGATTTTAATTATTCCATCCCATAATCCTTCCCCTGTCTTAATCTGTTTTTGAAAGTTTTCGGCCCATCAGATGGCACTACTGTCCTGTAAGACTACGTTGTAAAATCAAAAACAAGTAATAACAACAATTAAAATAATGAAACCATGTAATTGCATGTAATAATCTCTTTACCCTTAAAATGATAGTAAGAATAGCATGGTTATTTTTTAGCATTACGCCTTTCAAATACCTAAATGTTGCCTTTAATGTTACCTTTGACGGATACAAAACAGCTGATATACGTAAAACCAATTCACAAATATTTCGTATTTTCTCCAGATGAACTTATTTATTTATTGTATGAAAAATTCAGGAAAAAAGTATACATCTTAATAAAGAAAGACTCTATTTCATTCCACCTTTTATAGCACGAAGAACGAATCCGAGGAAGTGCAATCCAATAGTCTTTAGTATTATTTATCATCAATCTTTTTGTTATCATTGTTATCATTCAATTTCTTGGAAATTTATTTTAAGAACTTAAGAAGGGAACCCTGTTCAATTAAAAAGAAATAAAAGCTAGAAAGATGGCAAAAACGAGAATATTTTAGACATGGAAAAACTTATAAATTTATGTATAAAACAAATAGTCTGATCATTAAGCGTATAAAGCATTTATGTGTTATTATATGCAGTTTATATCGTAGTATTTTCAATCCTTAGAATTACTGCTAAATTCGACATTTTTTTGATTCTTATAAGTTTATAAGGAGATTATTTTCGTTGTTAGATGTTCAATTTAGAAAGTCTTAAACAAGCTTTTATTAATAATGGTCATTATAGATATTCTGAAGATTATAATAGATATATTGTAGATGTACAATGTAAACAAAACAAGCTATCTTAATATATGCCATTGGAAATCGTACTAGTTAATAGTTTCCGGTAGTTGGTATATTACTCTATTCAATCGGTTTGGAGCATCTGCTGCCGAATCAGCTATATTATTTATAATTAATGCTTTCTTATTTATATTAAATGTCTCTCCTTTCGTTTGTTAGTTGCCCGGTCTGTGTATACTAACATATGTATATATGTATTTTGTTTTTGTAGCTCTAAGATATGAAGCATTATCGTGAACTAGAATAAAGTCCTCTTCAAGCTGAGCTTAAGTTATAGATAGGAAATGGCTTTCTGAGAGTGTGATATACTACTCTAAATCCATCCTATTATCTACTGCTGCTAAATAAATTCACATATACTTTTCATCAAGGTATTAGAATAACCCCTGCAAAACTTGCATTAAGAAAATCTGTCATCCGTTGTGTAATATAGAACTATTTCGATAGTCATATTCCTAATATTCGTCTGTGAATATTATATTGGGCGAGGACTGGTACTCATGGAAATTGTATGCAAATTTTTTCCTATCATCAATTTTTTTAGTGTCGGTTTCTAGTTCATTATTTTTATTCTTTTTGTTGGCTTTTGTCTTTTGGGACGTCTTTAAATGATTTTTACGCCCTCTTTCTAGATATTTTCTTCCTTACTGCGATGTTAGTTAGGAGACGAATAATGCTCATCTGTTAATAGTACAGCTTACCAGAGAAATTTTACACTCTTACTTTAATTTTGAGATAATGCCATGCTGTCTTTGCAGTCCTCCTGTTAAGTATCAAGGTATAAAAAACAACTCTTTTCTCTATTAGTTTTAATTTTTATTTTTCCTTCCTCAGAAAGAAGACCTCTTGCTTCTCTATAGTGATTAAACATACATAATTAGATGAATAGCCAAAATTTCACTCCTCTTGTATAGAAGAAAAAGTCTATGGAAGTGTAATGTTCACAATACAAAATGTGGTTTATTGGTAAATTGACTAATTCAGCTATACAACATATACGTTTACTATACATTCATAACGAAACCTTACAGTTTGACTGTTTTATAATTGTATAAACCGATAGAGTTTCCGTAATCAAATGAATAGTTGTTGTTTTTTTTCGTTCTCCTCTCAAATGAATATGTATTATGATAATTTTTCTCAAAGATTTGCACAATTATAAAAGTCAAGTGCGCCATAAAGTTACATAGAGAAGGACAGGTATAAGCGAAACAGTAAAGAGTGGAAATAGAAGAATAAGAAAGAAAGAAAAAGAGAGGAAGAGTGAGTGAGTTAGTGAGTGAACGAAAAAGATAAAGATACGGAAAGAGATACTGGAGATATTAACTATATTATTACACATAAATTATATTATCTTTGCGATTTATTTGCTATCATGGCTTCGTTTAATTTAAAAGAGTGGATTCCATTTATTGTAGTTATGTGTTTGTATGTTCTTCAAATTTATTAATTATCAAACTGTATCCGTTCAAAAACAAAACAGGAATACTGACTAATTATTTTATAAAGATTTTGGCATTTACAGACCTTTTAACTTGCGGGTTTGCAGTTCCAGTTACAGCTTGTTTGGACATGGGTTTACTCAGAGACAGAGTCAGCTGTAAATTATGTATGAGTATAACGTATGGGTTTGTGTCTTTTTCGTTCCTTACTTTTGGCTCTATTTCTGTAGAGCGTTGGTTTTCTATTTATAGACCTCATATGCTGACTAAAAAGCACATTGGCGGATTAACTACAATTGCTTTAATTCTTTCGTTAGTGGCAGCTTTTCTAACGGCTCTTTACTTTGATATAAAAAATGAAAATTCGGAAAATAAAAGATGTAGATTTACACATGGTCATGGTCGAATTGTAGTTGGAATAATTTTCTCTATATTTTTCGTTGCTGTGGTTCTTATTATCATCATTTGCTATACAACCATATTTATAGCAACCACTTCAAGGCTTAGGTGTATTAATAAAGTTATGATAGAAGGTATAAGATCAACAACGTCTAAAATTCAAACAAGATATGCTATTATGTTAATGGGTGTAACAGTGATCTTTCTCCTCTCCTGGATACCTTACTGGCTGGAATTTTTTGGAGCAATAAGAAAATATCCTATTTTAAATAGTATTATTTTTATTGAAAACTGTACAAATTGCTTTGTATACTTAGTGTTTCTCAAAACTTATCGTTTAAATACTAAAAAGTATACGAAATCTATTGGGAAAAAACTGTTCTTTTGTCGAGATAATTAAAGATTAAAAATGATTTACCAATTTTTGTCGTGATATTGATATCTATCAATATAACTGTAAATACATACTAATATATTCTTCCATGTACTGTATATTCTTATATAATGTATATACTTCAAGAGACATTCTTGATTGATTAATTTTTTCCAGTGCAAAAGTCAAAAAAGAACAATTCAATACTTTTACCAGAGATAAAAGAAAAAAATATGAGCTCCTTCATTCAACGTTATTCCATCCTTTGTAGATATATTCTTTAATATCATCTCTCTCTAATGATAATAAGAATAATAATAAATTCAATAGTTTCCTTTGTCTCTAAATGTAACATACCAGATTGTTTTTTACAATATATTGGTTTTATAAGGAGTTAGATTATAAAATGATCTAGGGTTACGTAAACTTAGAGAATATATCTATTTCTTTTTATTTGATGTATTGTAATAAGATGAGAAAGATAATGACATCCGAAGGTTGTCTTTGAGAAAAATATAGATTTTATTGTATTGCTCTTAATGGATATTTCAAAACTTGTTGTTCGATTATATTCAACTCTAAGAAATCTTTGAAATATAACAAAAACTATTATATTTTAGTCCATTACTATTGCGATTTATCATCATTGGATGTGAAAGAGATGCTTTTCCTTTACCATTATATAATCAATTCATCGATTTGTAGTAGTCTTTTATAACCTATCGTTTAAGTGAAGAGAAATTACTCTTTCAAGAGAGTTAGAATTGAAAATACACACTATTTCTTTCCCTTTAGGATTTGTAAAATGAGCAACGGAACTGTCATACAAAAGTTGGACTTGAAATTTTGGACGCCTCTCATTTCTTGTAGTGTTATTTACTTTACTATTGGAGTGCCGTCGAATTTACTCATTACATTCGGATATCCCAATGCTAATAAGACAACTACACTATCTAATATCTTTATCAAAACTTTATCTATAATAGATTTCTTAACTTGTTTTCTTGTTGTTCCTCAAACGCTTCTTCTGGAGCTGGGATTTATAAGAAATTTGATTTTTTGTCGAATGTCTGTTGGCTTTAATTACTTTTTAGTTGCCTATTCTGTAGCTATTGTCGGGTGTTTAGCCATAGAGAGATGGTTTGCAATTAAGAAGCCTCATATTCTGAAGAAGAAGCATGTAATTGGAACTAGTATCTCGACGGCTGTTTTATCTCTTCTAATAGCCATAACTTTTTCACTATTTTACAAAATTTCCCCATATGAGAAGCTGGACGGGAGAGAATTTCCTAGTTGCAATTTCAAGTTGAGCTTAGGAGGAATAATTCTTGGAGTTGTATTAATGCTATTCTTCTTTGCCGTCCTTCTAGTTGTGACATTCTGCTATGTGAGCATATATTTAGTAATTTATAAAAAACTTGAAAAAAGATCCCAAATTAAGCCAATAATAGAAACTAACTCAACAAAGATAACAGACACAAATTCAAATAGAAAAGATGAGAAGAAAGTAGCAAGAAATATTAACGCTGGTGGTGAATCTCTAAAATCACAAGTAAGATCGGCAACAATGTTATTTGGCGTAACTATAATATTCTTTCTTACTTGGGTACCATTTTGGTTGGATACGTTAAGAGTTATTAACAGAAATCAAATTTTACAATATACGTTTTATATCAATAACTGTACGAATTTTTTTGTTTATTTCATTTTTCAAGAGAAATTTCGTAAAAGTATCTTTGGAATTTGTAAGAGTAGAAGTTAGTAATGAATATATCAACTATTAATCATAATATTTATAAATACTGCATAAATCTGCATAAATATATACTTGTATATTAGTACTGTCGACACTTTATATAGTAACATTTATATGAATTACTCTCATTTGTTTATCTACATTGTTTATTCCTTTGTTTCTCTTTTACCAAAAATATCTTAAATGAAAAATTTATATATTCGATTTAACGCTCCATAAAATGAGATGGTTCAAGCTATCGTCGGTCCCAATTTCTTCTTCTTTTGTACCATCTTCTTCCCCAGATCTTTCAAAATCGTCAAAACCATCACCTCCGCTAACAACTAAATCCCTATCATCGTCTGCCTTTACTGATGCTAAAAATCTAACGAGACCCGAATGACCTCTTCTTAAAGCTATTGGAGTAGGTGATGAACTGAGTGGCCTAGCCGTTGGCGTTAAAATGGGACAAGGTAAGACTAACAAGACTCCTGCACTTGTGCCTATCCATAATTCACCTCCTTCTGTACTCAAGATATCCGTTACTCTAAGGCAAGCAAGCTTATGTTGTCTAATGACATCGTCAAGACATTTAATTCTTTGTGATACAGCGTAGGAAACATTGATTTCTGCTAGGACCTGTCTTGTTAATGTATGTATTAGAACCAAAGATGATGAATAGGCAAATGCTATCCACATGCCGTAAGAACCCGTTGTTCTTAGAGTTAGTATTTTTTTATTATCCGAAGATACAGCTACCTCTTCTTGCTCTAATAAATTCCTAGGATCTAGAATTATGACTTTAGAACTTGTAGCACACCATACATCTCCATGTGCGGTCAAAACCATTTTAAGAACCGGTTCGTCCTGCGAACCTACCGAAGCTCTTGTAATTGACACATCAGTTTCATCTGTTCTATGCACTGCCGCTACTTGTCCTGAAGATAAGGCAACGAGTAATAATTCAGGATTGATAACGAGTAGATCATTCACAGCTGTATCTCCAACGGCCGTTTGCCTCCTTCTCTTGGTTGTCCTTATATTCTCATTACTAGGGAAGATGTGAAGACGGCCATCTGCTGATCCTAACCACATGGTACTTCTACTAGAATGTTTCAATTTTTCCGTTTCAGAGTCCTCTTCACTCTCATAACCATCATTATGCTCATATTCTCCTGATTTTATTGATGGTAATCTCTCTCCCCTTGGCCTATCTCTTATTGCAGGAACCAAGGTTATGCAGGTTACCTTCGAAGTGCAACCTGGCACCGTTGTATTTAAGGTAACTATAGGCTCTGGATTTACTGCTAGTAAGCATACATGCGTCACGTGACCGTCGCTTTGGCAAATCCACATGTCGGCTGTATTTTGGGAAGGGCTAGCGCATGTTAGATGCATTCCTGCCCTAGTTCGTCTGATTGATAGGACATTCTCGAATGTTGGAGATGTCTTTAAGCTAGGCCATTGGGTTGCTAATTGAAGTTTAGTTTCCTTAAAAGTGGTTTCCCAATACTGACGTTTCTCACCATTTGTAAAAATAAAGGTTAAATGGCGTTTACCCTCTCTGCAAGAGAAAACTAATTAAGACAATAAAGCTAAATTTAGAATAACCTCAACTTACGGTAGACTAGCGTAAATATCTAAGCGTGCAGCGCTTTTTACAACAGCTAATTCTTCTTCGGTGGTCCTTAACATTTCAATAAGGGTTTTATTTAAATTATCATTTTCGTTATGAAGATTAGACGCAGTTCTCCTCATTGATTGAATATTTGATAAATCTTCTTCCAACTCTCTTCTTTCAACGGAATTTGACTTCACTAAAGGTGATAAATATACTGAATCTAGGGCAGCTCTTAAATAGACTTTATGCTTCACATTGTCGATAAAATCGGATGCTCCCAAGTGTGAATGTAACATAAGCGTTGCCGGTCGTCTAACGACACCAGAAGTACGCCTTTTGGCTGACGATACAATTAAGAGATCTGTAAATAACCAAAGAACGCATTGTTCGTTTCTAGGCGGCGTTACAACGTTATCGTGGCGAACATAAGCCCTATCTGGATTAGAGGAAAGTTCTGTTAATAGCAAGTTTTCAAGTCTTTTAACTGTTGAGTGGAGATCGTGTTCTGCTTGCGATTCTTTCACGCTGTTTATCCTTATTGCAACAGCATGAACGGAAACAATTGCAGCCTCTAGGCCTGCTCTATCGGCATGCTCTGGAGGTGTGTGATGGAGTAGACGTTTCAAAAGTAATTCATAACGTGGTATACGCTGAGCGGGTTTGACTAGTTGTGCTTTAAGAGGAAGTTTACTCTTGAAATCTTTCTCTATTTGCTGCAAAGGAAATGCAATATAAATCATTGTAATAAAATTATGTTGATGTTTTGGCTAGTCTTGATTTTTCCGCCCAATAGATGGCGTTAACAGTTTTAACTGAAAAGGATGGATGACATTATGGACCAATCTCTATTTACGTAGAGTGGTTAGAATTAAGAAGTAGGTAGGCCGATGAAAGAAAAACTGTAGGAATTTTTTTAATCCCGTATCTAAAATAATGATTAAGTGTATAGAAAAAATATTATTAGACAGTAGAAAAGGCGGTTGGCAACGGTAGTAAAAACATTTTATTTTTAGTGTTATGATTGTATTTAAATAACGGAGTTTATCTCTCTCAAAGCTAAAATTTCTAATTCAACATAAAGTGATTTTGATAGGATAGTAAAGGATTCTTTTAATCAATAGAAAGAGGAAATGTTTTGATTTACCTCGCAGAATCTCTGGAAAATTGCCCTTTGCAGAAGAACGTCCAAAGTTCTCTCTGCCCTTGGAAAATTCTCTATAAACGATACATAACTTTCAACGACTGTTTCCTTTTGAAAAACGGCATTCATAGCTTCTCCAATCGGTTGAGAATTCATAAAAGTCAATAGAGTAGCGTGATGCATGTATAGTTCTTTTACTTTGTAAAAGATTTCGTCAACAGTGTTGATGTCGAACGACGGGTTGGATTTCAACGGAATCATATAACGCTGTTAAATGATTCATATTAAAAAAAATCTTTATAAATTCAAATATATACTATTTATATTCCGGTTTTACAGTAATATAATTATTGCAGAGCGTAAAATTCTACAGCCCATGTGGTTTGGGGGCCGACTCTGAATTTAAGTGCACGCAGAAGGTTGGTATTTACAAGTTTCAAACTCTATGCTCTTTGATAAATATTATTTATTTGTATTTTTAAGCTGATTTAGACCTATATTTTGTTATGTAATCCAATATTTTACTCATTCATTAGAAATTTATGAACATCTCATACAAGATAGACCTTCACAACCGCTTCTCTTTATATCCCATTTGCATATGTTATTAGATGCTATTTTTAAATAGTTTAAGCCCTTTAAATGATTCCTTATTCTAGATTTTCAGTTATTTTTATAGTGGAGTGAAGATTTGTAGTTGCAGTTTAATTTATCTACTGCAAAAGTTTCGTTATATCAGTTTGCACCAAATTTTTTTAATAGCTTTCCATTAATATTTTTTATTCCATCCGAATGAAATAGACAAAACAGCTCTATTTTTCTATACTTTCTATTATCATTTTGAAAGTATAACGTCTGCAAAAATTCCAGACTTACTGTTATATTACGTACCGAAACAGCGGCGACTTAACAGCTGCCAACTCTGAAAACTCTTGGGTGTTTATCCTGTTTACTTGCTCAGATATATTTCAAGTGCACAATTTAGACATTGTATTAAGACGAATGAATATGCAATAAATGATAAATAATCCTTTTACTATAAAGTATTTTAATTAATAAATTAATTAATCTACGAATTAATTAATGAATAGAGAGATATAAAAAAAACTGATAGCCCAAAATATGCATTAAGTAGAATATGAAAACTTTCCTTTTGCCCTCTATAAAAAGAAAAAAGAAAAAAGAAAGGAAGAAGATAACCTATATAGGCTTAATAAACATACTTTCTTATATTTCTACTGTTATATCATATACAGTATATATATATATATATATATATATATATATATATAAATATATACACTATATATATATATTATTCCTAGAATACAAAAATCTAAGACGAAATGTGCAAGCAATGAAATTTAAAAAAAAGGAGGACTTTAGAAAAAGGTGTATATAAATAACCTACAAGCAGACTTCGGCGTGGACTGTAAAGAAAAGAGGAACTATAGAAAACACATGCACCTGATAAAAATTTTGGCCTTAGGGTTGTAATACCACCATTTACTGAATATTATTATATAATTATAGGCTTCCCACGTTGTTTTATTAACTAATATTAAGTTACATCAACATTATTATCGATATAAAAGAGTAAGGAGGTTTACAAAAAAGTTTAAATGCAATTAAAACAAGTTCCGTATTGAGTACTGTTGAGTCATTTAGTATTATGAACTTTTATCTAGAGTATAAGCGAAAGTACTAAGTAAATAAGAAATTATGATGAAGCGAGTAAAGAGAAGAGGAAAGGGAAAATGAACGAATAAAGAGAAATAATTAAAGAATATCTATATGATATTCAAAAACAAAGGTAACCTCAAAAAAAAAACACTATTAATTAGGGTAATTCTTCTTCGTACCATTGTAAAATTTACGCTAATTAGGTTAAAAGATGATGACCAATCAAAAAATTTTATAGGTTTGGCAGAGTAATAAAACGGTCAGACAAACTACGAAGTCGTAATTCAACTTAAAAACTTGTATGAATAATTAAAGAATTTCTCTTCTTTAGTGTAGGAATGTTTTAATTGAAAGGATCTATTAAGTTTTGTGATATATATATATATGTACGAATATCATGAAGATGAGCTATTGTGATATTCTAACAACAATTGCATAATAATACGTTATTTCTCTCTTTGTCTTATATAATTTTACTACACACACATGCTTATCTTATAAGTAATCGCCTTGTACAATTTTTTGCTTCAAGAAAATGCTTTACGCTCAGAATTAAAGAAGGGGATAAATTGTTTGATTATTACGTAATCGCTTTTCCGGATAACAGTATGATTGATACGGTTAATGTCTGACTTACCTCCACAAGTTTTTGCAAGGTGGCAACGTATTCCCTTTCGGTCGTATGCAATTCGCGAACGATCATTTCACGCTTGTCCTACATACGTAAAAAAGCGTTAAGTGGAGCAAGCGAGTTGTTTACATTCTTTTTTTGCGGTAGCAAAACACTTAGGCCTACCTTAGCACCGATCTTCTCCCCTTCTAACAAATCGAGATCGGGAACGCTTCCTAGATGTGAATTCTTTAACAAAGATCTCTTGTGTAAAATAACGGAAGCTGAAGAGGCTGATCTGGTCAAAGACTTTTTCACATTATCATCGAGCGTCGAATCTCCCACAACTCTTAATTCATTATTAGCAGCTGGTTTACGTTTTTTTGACGGTTTTCGACGATGGATTATTTCCGGTTCAGAACTATCGTCGGTGACCTCGATTTGTTTATTAGTTCCTGTTACCATAGCTATGGGCCTTGAAGGAAGTTGTTCTTTTAAGAAGAGTGCCGGTAAACTTCTTCGAGTGTTAGATTGAATTTTCCGCGGACGTTCTCCATCCGAAAACGATTGCCTTCTGTCCAACTTTTAAAAGAATGGAAAAATAAACAAATTGATCAATAAATAAACAGCTAAAATGAAACTTTATATTAAAAAAAGGAGAGAGAGAAAGAGAATGAATGGAGATAATTTATAAAAATTCTAGTAAATTACGCTGTTTTTAACATAGTTAGGGAAGGTAAGTTAAAGAAAAAAGCATTATCATCTTGTTTTTTTCGTTTTGAACTTTTTCCCTTCATTTTGTATGCAAGAAGGGAAAAGACTCCTTCGCAGAACCCAATCTTTCTTTATGAATAGAGAAAATCATTATCCTAATATATAAATATATATATATTTATAGACAAATGTTCTGTATATTATACGTATTCTTTCTTTACAACATAAGAAAATATATTTTCTTCATCTTCTTCATCGTCTTTTCTATTTCCTACTTCCATTCTCTCTCTCTCTCTCACTCCATGTCCCTCACTCTTTCTATTACTCATTTTCTCCTTTTTTATTCTTGACCTTCTATCGTTTATTTTAATTTTTTGATAATAAAAAGGCGAGAAAACAGTCATTACGCTTTTTTATCTTTGCTTGTTTATAGAATCTATGTGGCAAAAGTCTATAGTTCCCCTAAGAACTAATTAGAAGCTGATAAGAACAGATGCTAATAATTTGGTAGCAACTTTAATTGTTCGACACTTTTTCCTGTTCATTTATAGGCATTTGAGTGGTGAATAAGAAACATTTATTAGTTAATCATTAAACTGGCGCTCTCAGGAAGAGATTATACCATTGCGAAATCTCTTTCATAGAGGAGAAATGAGAGAATAAGACAGAAAGACTTGTATGTAAAATAGAAAAGGTAGGCAGGACGATATAGTTAGCTTTCAATTACTAAAACTAAAAGATATACGCTTAGAAAGAGAAAAGTGAAGAGTACTGGTTGAGATGAGCTGGAATCTGGGAACGCTGTTCCACGAAATACTGCAGATGTTATTTATTAACTAGACTTTCATCATCACTTAGACGTTGTGGCTAGTTTAAAATTATTCATAAATCTTAAAATTTCTCTTTAGTACTTTTTAATTAATTTATCTATTCCTAAAAATAGTTTAGGCGGATGGTATTTTTAAATATCTCTTTCAAGATGTTAAGTTAACTTTTTAACCTGGGTTGGTATGGGGAATCATTTCTGATTAAAATGGGAATTTAGGAAAAGAAAATAATAGTACAAAAAGCAAAGAAAAACAAGAAAAAACTTCTAAAATACTAAGAATTATGCTTTGTTTGTTTTTGTTAGATTATGAATGGATCAAGCGATAAAGAATTATTAGAATCCCTAATTTTTTTGTCAAATTAACCTTTGGATTTCTTGGTTCATATTCGGTCTGCGTAGAACAAGTGCGATTGGAGGGCTCATCGCAAGTTGTGACAATAACTTTAATATCGTGTTCCTTAGAAGGGGCTTCTTTCTCCTTTTCATCATCTTCCTCTGCCTCCTCTTCTTCATCCTCGTCTTCGTCCTTTAGGGATTGTACGGTTTCGACAGTTTCGTTAGCAGAAGAGAAACTAATATCACTCTCTTCATCTTTTACACTCTCAAAGTCCTCTTCAGAATGTCCCTGGATGGGTTTTTCATTCATTTCCCCTTTACTTTCCTCTTCTTCAATTTGCCTAATGATCCTCTTCAAAACACTGCTGACGACCGCCTCTATATTTTCGGCGGAAAAGTATAAAGAAATAACGCCGCACTTTGATTCGTCTATGACTTTGCGTTTCTTATTTAACTTTAAACGCCTATGTAAGAAATCGGCGGTATACGATACAAAACGAATAGAATCTAGTAAATCGTCGTCCGCCTTCAAATTCCTACAGCAGTCGGACCTCTGCAAAACTGTAGTAGTATTATTACCGTCTGCAGAACAGCTTTGCATCGCGCGTTCGCCTTGAAAATTGCGCCTGTTTATTATCGGACGATAAGAACGCCCTCTGGGTTGGGGAAATACGTGTATTTTTTTCTCTTTCTATTTTTTGATAAAATGAACAACAGCGTTACATTTCATTTACAACATGAAGGAAAAGGCTCGTTCTGCACGTTTCTTGCTCCTCGAACCGCTGTGACGCCACACCAAAAAATGGACGCTACTGTTAATTTGATGTTTTTTTCTTAAAATAGCTATATTTCATGAATATTTGTATATAAACATGTAATGTATATTTATACATAATTAAATATATATATATATATATATATTTAGTTATGTGTATTAGTATATAAATGTATATATATATATATACTACAGTAGTTTTTGCAAGCATATATATATTTATAACTATGTTTTCAGAGATGTTAATTTCTTAGTAGCAACGTTAGCGGTACGGGTTTGTATCTATATTAAAAATACAGTAGATAATTTGTTCATAAAGATCATACAGGTTATTTACAATAAATATACAAGTAAATAAATAAATATATAAATAAATTGACACATGTGCAATTTGTATAGATATACATAGATACTCTATATATGTATCATAGACAGAAAAGCATTAAAAATATAATCATCTTATCGAATTGAATTAAGTTTCGTAGAAACTGCTTATGAAAAGATAACAAAAGCATTAATAAACTAACATATTGTCATATACAGTTTGTTTTGCGTTCATATCGAACATGAATGAATAAATAAGAAAAACACTCTACATATAAACAGCTTGAAAATAATCAAGCTTTTTATTCTGTATGAAGTTATAGAGCTGTTGAGGCGTCTCATTTTTTTCCCCTCAGCTGAAGCATCAAGCTACTTTAGTAAGGAGGAAAATCTATTATAAAAAATCGAATAAGAGTTTAACGATAGTTCTAAACTACTTTAAACGCATTAAGTTTTGCAGATAAAAACAATTTTTATCATCTAATTGAAAGAATATTCTAAATATTTCAGTCATTTTGAAGAGAAAATAAAAAATATTTTCTGTCAAGTTTTATTCTGACCGGAAATAAAAAAAAGAAGAAATGAAAAAGAAAGCCTTTCCTTTTTTTTATTTGTTTCAGTTTGCTATCTGCTTTATTTGTTTTTTAAACTTTTAGAAAATTTATGGTCGATTGGCTAGATTCTTCTAGATTCTTTTACTTTTAAATGTTTACCGACTGAGTGGTAAGAGATTTAAAAGAGACTTAAATATTTATTATACCTCAAAGTTTTTATCGTACTAATTTTTTCAAGTTCATTCTATTCGTAGTTCTTCCTCTACTCCCTCTCTTTCCCCCTTTATCTCCTTATTCTTTTTTCATTTCTTTTTTTCTTCTTTCCCCCTCCCCTCCCTCCCCAAAAAAAGAAAATAAAGAAAAGCTTATCAATTCTTTTTCTTTGCCAGCTACGTTTCTCGTCAATAGAGAATACAAAGAAACAAAAATTGAGAAAAGAAGAGAGGACAAAAAAAGAGACGGATAGAAAAATAAAAAGATTGGGAATTATAACTTGATTGGTAAACAAGACAATAAAATTCGACAGTCAACTTCCTTTCTCTTTAGATTTTAATGGTTTGGTATTTTTTTTGTTCTGTTTTGTTTTTATAAAAAAAAAACTATTTCTTTCTTTTTCCTTCAATAAAAGAGTTTGTCTTGAATGATTGTTTCTTTGTTTGATAATAACGAACCGCAAAACGTTGTATTGTCTTTCTCTTTTTTTAATTTTTTTTGTGTCCATTTCAAAGGTCACCAATTTATTTACAGTTGAAGATCTTCTTGAGATCGTCTCGGAAATTCTTGTTCATAAATGAATAAATGACTGGGTTAGCTGCGTTATTAGCAAAATATAAATAAAATATAATTGGGATATAATCAATAGCATTTAACGCCATAAGGCAAGCAGGAAAATAAGTGACTATAAAGACGACTGTAACAACAAACAGCATTAAAGCCGTCTTTAAATTCGCCATCGCATTTCTATCTCTTTTTACAGTCGATTTTCTTTTATCTCTGCGAGATTTTTTTCTGCCATTTTCGGGTAGGAGCTCCCCATCGGCCCCATTCAACCCTGTCACTTGAGTGGGGGCATCATCCTCGGCAACTTGCTCTCTCAGAGTAACCAAAGGGAGAGCTCGATTTTTCGCCCTTTCACTCCTTCGTTTTTTTAAGGATTTAAAAATTAAAATATACAGAATACTGACGATAACGACGGAGACAAAAAAGACGCTTGTGTAAATTGTATGGTAGACTTCCTGAAATTTTTGAGGAATAATGCGATTCGTTGTCTGACATCTTCCGACGAATTTTTCCGAGACATTCATTTGCATTCCTCTATTTGGGTCGATATATTGGTGGACACTGTAAAATAGAGCCGTTACGACACCGAGCACACAGGCTACGATACCGAGAACAATTGAGAGAATTTTTGCACGATGAATATTGAGTAGATGAAGAAAAGGATGGCATATGAGAAAGTACCTGTTATATTTAAAAAATAAAATACAGTATATATAAATATTTATATGGATATTAATAAAAATGCTGAATATATTGCGGTATATAATGTTATGGATAATGTAGGTTTTCTCTTGTAAATACTGTATACGATGTACTGTCATGTTTACACAAACACATACATGTATTAGAAATTTGTATAGCTGAATAAATTTATATTCGCAATCCATACAGTGGCCCTGAGGCTACCTGCTAATTAATTAATCGTCTTGAAAAATATGATATTACATGTTGAACACTATTTTCATCTGGATTATTACTAATTCAATCGTATGTTATTTTATTCTCATTCGGAAGATGCTATTTAAACTGACTATACTGTCTAGGATTAGGTTGGGGGTTTTAGACAGACTTTAAACCTTAAGCTCTAAATCTCTATCTTGATATTGAGTTAAGAGGATTGAATGATACCTATACGTATTCGATAATATACTGTATACAATAATTGAAAGAAAAACGTTACATATCAGGTAAATTCCAACTTATGGTAACATCCTTAAACGGAGCCAGCTTCTCAGGCAAGCCTTTGAAGATTACCACTATCTGCTTAGATTTCTTCATTTTATATTTTGAAGATTTAAAGTCTCATCCTTTCTAATGAATTATTCATTATATTTTCGTCTATTCAAATTGATATTCCAATTCGTAGAGTGTTAAAGATAAAGAAAAGTCAGAAGATTAGTAAAACGAAACGTGAATAGAAATAAGAGAACGTTATGATGATATTTTTCGAGTCCTATTGGAAAATTATCTTTGATTGTAGATAGTATAATATTTTTTACCTTAAGCACTCTCATACCATTTTATTCCTACAAGTTTTGTTGAGAGAAGTGTACAAAAAATACAAGGCGACAATGCATATGTTTTTCCGCGCCTTATTCTATCTATCTGTCTCTCCCTCTCTGTCCATCTGCAAATCTGTCAGTTACCTTTCGTCCTTATCCTTTCAGTTTATGTATTTGTATGTACCTCTTTTAATATAATAATTGGTTTTAATATTATCTATCCAGTAATAAAATTATTCTCTCTTTTTTTCCATTAATATTTCAAGATTGAGTGCACCCAAGAGAATTCTTTTAGCTATTCTGCCTTATTTAAATGTAGTTGAGTATTTCTTAGAGTAAATACGCAATATTTGGCACATTTTTTATCTCTTTATTATAACATCAAGTTTATCAAAGGCTTTCTTAATATGGTTGTAAGATTGTCATAAATGTACGGAAAATTAAAATGTAAGCTTTACTCTATTATTACTTATAGAAAAGTTTTCATTCATAGATTCTCGTAGAACTACAATACAGGCTAGACCTTACAATTGATAGATATAAACGAAGTTTGTTCCTTTATCGTCTCTTATGGTTCTAATAATAATGAAAACAGTAATAATAATATACATACAACATCTAGGTGATGAGATATATTCATTCACATAGTAATTATTAGCAATTTAATGATAGTGCCCTTTACAGTATACTATTAAATCTCTTATATAAGAATATTACTTGGGCCTTTTAATGTTCCTTTGCAAAGGTAAGGATCTTATAAATATATTAATAATTTTTCTTTCTATAAAAGATAGATAAAACGAATTAATTTGGTAAAGGCGCTTGATTCTTTTCTTTTTTCTATTTATCAAATACTGATTGCTGTTAGTCTTAATAATTTCTTTTTTTTTGGGAAGAGGGGGGGGGAATGCCACTTATTTCTAAGAATAGCGTATATCGTGGGTGTAAAAGTTAATTAACTCAATCCGTCAACAATTTTCAACACACAGGTACCAAATATTTATTGGACGTTTACTCTTGACAGAAAACGAAGAATTCTTCACTTGTTTGCCCTTGTTGACAAATAGAAACGTATCTTTAAAGCTCTAATATCTTGCATAGAAAGAAGCTAATAAAAGAAAGAGCTTCTAAAGGTAGATTAAGATGTAAAAGTTGTATATAGAAATACAGAATATAATATTCTGTTTAATGAAGATACATTTTACTTCCGGTGAAAAATTTATTAATGAAATACTCTTAATCTTTAACTGACGGTTAAACAAATGTAACTTATAAAAGTTGACAAGCTGAAGAATGATAGAATATCATTATAATGAGAGACAAACATACTAAAACTGAGTGTTTTGTCAATTTAACAAACAAAACCTTTATTTTTCTATTTTAGGGAAATTCTAATAGGAAAATATTTGTAATCTTTAGAAATTCAACTAAAATCGGCAGATAATGAGAATTTATCAAATTAGCTTAATAATGATCTATAAAAACAACGTTTATACGTTTATATACCTGCTAATTGTATATGTATAACCTTTTCTAAAGGTAAACAATATATACAATGTATGTGTATATTTTTAATCAATATATTAAATGAAGTAAATAGTAGTTTATACAGAGTAACAAATAAGGGAATACTTATCTTAGTTTATATCAGTATAAGAGAGAAAAAATGCCAATTTACTCTTTAAAATC